GAGAAAACAAGGAGGTGAATGTACATCTATGGACATTAAAAGGTAAAGTCTGTTATAAATAATTGTCTCTTCTGAGTGGATCACATTAACAATAAATCAATATATTGACGTCAGTCTTAGTTTTATACTTTAACTCCTTCATATCACATTACCTGACATTATAATTTATATATAGAAGGTGGTCAGGAGAGGTGTAGTTTGGTTACACTCAAAAGAGAGTTTTCTCTGGATGAGCAGCTAAAGAGTTTTTCCAAACTTTATTAATCATATCAGCCCTAGAATTGAAAGAAAAGTTTGCAGCGTTCCCACAATGCATCTGCTGACACACTGTGTCTGCAGACTCTTGGTTCCATGTCTCTTTAGACCCAGAGAGCCAGTAGATTTCTCTGCCATGCTCTATCCCCACATGACCAGAACAGGTTCCACTTAAAAACACCACCTTGTGACCTGATGGACACAAAGAGAGAAACATGATATACAGTAAGTGGCTGTGCAGGTCGTCTACCTGTTGAAAGGTCATTCGTTCATGTGTGAATGTTAGACAAAGCCCTTAGACACAGGATTAAAGCACTGCATGAATGTGTGCTTGTGACTGGGTTAATTGGGCTTGTAGTAAAAAGCGCTTTGACTTTAAAATGCTGAATGTGTTTGCTGTTAGCTGAGCAGAATAATGATTCTCTACTACTTTCAGCAAAACACACTCTGGGTGCTCTAAAGGAGTAGAAAAGCATTATATATATGTATGAGCACCAGCTAGTTTTTGTTTGCAGTGTAGGTGCTGCATTCTGGACCAGCTAAACACGAGCTAAAGAGGACCGAGAGGTGCATGTGACAAGTGAGTCACAGTACTCAAGACAACAGAAAATTAAAGCGTGCAATAAAAGTTCCACAAAGCTAAGTGTCAGTAAGGGTCTGAAATTTGTGATGTTTCCTAATTAAATGAGAGAAATAGACTGGGTGAGCGTTGAGATGTGAGATTCAAATTTCAAATCAGTACCAAAAATGATACGAAGGCTCTTAAATGATGATTCGGTTTTACTGTAACAACTGACAACCTCAGATTTTTTAGAATTAAGGTGAAGGAAATTTAAAGACATTAAAAGCAATGAAGAATGCTTGTTATTTATTCCTGTTGTCTTACTATTTATATTTTATTTCTGCACACTTGACGAGGAGCCCCCACAATTTTGTGGTAAATTTACAATGACAATAAAAGACTATTCTATTCTATTCTATTGGCCAAGGTGTGAGTGGCTGGTAAACACTCCACTATTGGGAAAACATTGTTTTGTCTGTAATTAGTCTGCTAATCTACTGACAAAGACATTTGGCACCCAAAAAAGCCTAATGACTTTTTCACAAAAGACCAGTGATGGGAATAAAGGCGTTACAAGTAACGCGTTACTAACGGCGTTACTTTTTTCAGTAACGAGTAATCTAACTAATTACTATTCCAATCGTTACAACGCCGTTACAGTTACTAAGAAGAAAACGCGGTCCGTTACTATTTTTCAACAAACAGACGGTTGAAGCTGTCTTCAGCTTACCGCATCTTATATCAGTTGCATGGAAGTAGCTGTAAGTAATCTGGACGCTACAGCTTTAAGCAGCTGCCGCGCTCCCGCGGACGGTAATCACGATCGCTGTCTAGCACAACACCTGGAGCTAAGGGGGCAAAACAATCACATGAGTGCTGCTGTTTTGACTGAGGAAGAATAAAGTATCGTGGTAAGCCAATCATATGACCACTTCAAGATGACAAAGCAACAAAGTGATATATACCAGTTTTTAATTGTGTTGATAGGCCATGTAAAACCAGAGTCATGATAAACAATATATACGTGGCGTTTTTCCCCCAATAGTTTTGTCACGTTAACTGTCTAAGGACAGCGCTAGCAAGCACTCTCTGCTTATGAGCAAAAACAAAAACAAAAAAACAAAAACAGAGGTTTTAGGAGTGACGGCGAGAGAGAGAGATTTGTGACATTTAGTGTGTTTGGAGTGTGTAGTTAATGTGTTGTCTTGTGTAGTTAGTGTGTAGTGTTGTGGATAGTTTTGTGTTGTGTGTCAGAACAATGAGGCGACTGCTGTCTCCAGGAGTGATACACCTGCTGCTGTCAGACCTGCAGGTATCAGGGCTGTGATGTTCTCCTTTATAGTGGACAGAAATATTTGGAGTGGCACAAATAATTTGTGTGGCATCTTATTGAAGGCAGAACAGCTGATTGTTAGTAAATAGTTTGAAATTGTTATTTAAAAAGTCAAGGTAAATGGATGCAAATAACTTTGTTGTTTGCAAAACTTGTGCATAGAATTTTAAAAATTGACAATTTATATTTGCATTTAAAGTTATGAAATATGATTCATTAAACATGTTTGTGGTTGTTACAGGTAAAAAAGTATAACTTTTTCTACTCTGAATTTATGTTTTTTTGTCTGATTTTAGATCAATTGTGTTAATACAGCATGTCAAAATGAAAACATAACTGTAAATTCAGACACGTGAGGCTGTGCTGAAAACAATGATACCAAACAAGGCAAAGTAAATAGTTTTTAAGGTGAAATGTAGAGGAAACATCAAAAGTAGTCAAAAATGGCCAATTATACCGTGGACCAACACTGCAAAAAGACAAATTGTTTATTTGGGTTTCTAGTTGGATTTCACAGGTAAGTGTATTTTAGACCTTAGACTTGATGATTTAATAAATAGAAGCATGTAACTAAGCAGAGGGAAAAAACACTTTTTTCTTCTGACTGACATCGATGAATGAAAATGTCTTTTTCCTGGTTCTAGCATTTATTATATTTCAGTATGTTTACTTTGGGAAAGCACTATCATTTGTGACACATGTGTAATTACTTATAACAGTTATACACAGCAACAAGGTCAAAGGGCACGTGACACTCACCCTCACAGGTGATTCCAGCTGCTTCCGCTTCCCGATCCGAAAATTGGTTGTTTGAGTTTTCTGTTAAACACTCAGATATCTTTGATATCTTCTTATTCTCGGACACGTTATGACAGGAAGCTACCAGAACCCTGACTGAATTTTCAGTTTTGCCTTTTCCCCACATTGCAGTTGTTTGCAGACAGCTGCTGATTGAGCGTCTGTCCATCCTTTTCAGGAACTTTCTTCCACTGGCCCTCATGCTTTATCTCCAATCTTCCAGCACATCTTCCAGGACCATCTGCCAGTTTCACCTCCACACTGCCTGTACCACGACAATAAGAGATTTATCAGCCACGAAACACAAAAAGAATAAATACATTAAATTAAACTCTTACTGAACACATTTTGGGAAAAATATAATCAGAATTTAACAATGTCACAATTTCACTGAATGAAGTAACTCATTTTCTCTCTCGACATAGAATTTATTGCAGGATTTAAAATCCCATTATAAAAGCAGACAAAGGCCATCAGCAGCCACTCTGTACATTTCCACTGCTGTATCTCACCTGAACACACCACATAAGGTTGTTTTGAACACTGGATGTTCTTGCCATGCTGAGCCTGACAGTGCCACAGTGAGGACTCATTGCCTTTGCAGCTCACATGGTCCATTATCCCTCCTGAATTCTGATGTTCTTCAGTATAAATCAGCTAGAACAAAGCATTTATGAGTTTATGTTATTTCATTGATAATCATCCAGTATTAATGGTGCACGTTAGTACACTTATCACAATAAATCCAGTAGCACTGCTGTATGGACAGTTTCTGATACATGAACGCTCAGTATCCCATGTATCAGAACAACAGGTAACTTATGGTGACTAAACTTGAAAAACTCACTTCCCCACATCCAAGCTCCTTGCAGACCAATTCAGCTTCAGTTTTTAGTCCAGGAGGAGGCACACACAGGATTAACTGAACCTTTCACTTCAATATTAACTGTACCATAGCACTTGCTGTTCTTTGCCAGAGTGCTTCAGAAACTACTTTAACTTTATCTGAGAGAGAGAGAGAGAGAGAGAGAGAGAGAGAGAGAGAGAGCAGTTTCACAGTGTGAAGTGTTTGCTTGGAAGTTGTTTGTGTTGGAATATAGATGTGTTGAATTACCTGTGCATGTCACATTAAGGTTTTTGTTTGTGCGGTTGTTTGGGCTGAGAGAGTTACCGCAGTGCATTTGCTGGCACACATCAAAATCAAAGTTGTCCTGTTGAACAGGTACCCAGTTGTTATTTTCTTCTTTTTCCAGCTGCCCAGAACACACATTTGACTGGTTTCCTTTGAGCTGCAGTCTCGTATAACCTGTTCATAAAAACACTTTCACCATATGTGTGTGTGTGTGTGTGTGTGTGTGTGTGTGTGTGGTGTGTGTGTGTGTGTGTGTGTGTGTGTGTTACCTTCACATATGACAGAAACAGGTTTGCATGATGCTGAATTGTCCTGTTCGCCATTCACACACTGCCACAGATGATCTGGATCTGCATTTTTAAAGGCTGAACAATCGATCTTCATCTTTGATGAGTCCCTGAAATTATCACTAACCATACTCTCTGAGGGAGGAATTTCTCTGAGTCCACCACACCCGAGATTTTTACACAGAAGCCTGGCTTCTTTTTCACCTTTTTAAGAGAGGAATTAAAACAGTCCAAAACATTTCGAAAAGCAATAAAATATTATTATAGCATCAAATTGAGAGAGAAATGTTGACAATATTTGAACAGCTCTGCCACATAGAAGATTAGCAAAAAGAAAATACATACCAATGCTGTTGTTACAAAAGTAACCCGGAGGTTTGCCATCAATGGAGTACTTGACAGCTCCAGCACATTTGTGTCTATCCAGGCTCAATGTGATATTACCTTGAGGAACGCACTCAATTACCAGCCAAATATAAATACAGATAAAAAACAACAAACACCACAATCGATCCTATCAAGTAATTTCATTTTCTTAATTTTCTTAACAACTTTTAGCGAAGAGTTTAAGCTTTTAAAGTTGCAGTTTTTGTCAGTACTTTCAATACCCCCCACCCCCACCCCACCTCCCCCCCACCCCCAGAAAAAAAAGAGAAAGAAAGATCTAACAAACTTACTTGAACACTTAAGTTTTTTCACTGTGAGCTTTGAGTAATAGCTGGACTTCCAACCAGGATGTTTACATTTCCACAGAGCGCTCTCGTGTCCTTCACACTTCAGTTCATTGAGCCAGATCGGTCTGTCTTCAGAAGGCTTAAGAATGTCTATTACTGGGTTCTCCACAGGTTTCCCCACAGTGAGTGCTCTTACAAACCACTTTTTCAGTGTTCTTGTCCCAGTGTGTATCCCCAACATAACCCCATATGTTGTTATGGTAGACTTCAAGGTAGCCTTCACATGGGTAGCCTCCTTTGTTTTTTAGAATCAGTTTGTCCTCAGCTAGGAACATACAAGGTTTATACAGCAAATTATTATTATTGTTATGATTTTTCATGGCTGACTTACTTTGGGAACTGCAAAGTAAATATTTAAAGTTGTAAGTTTAAAATGTCTTTTGTTTATTTGTTTTTTATCTGAATATCGGTAAAAACACTTTTTTTACAAATCTTTTTAATCCCTTCATGTCTTTCTTTAGGATAATATCATCATTCCTCAGCAGATTTATACAAAAACAACAATGAAAAACCACAGTGGTTTATATTTTTTAACATATGGGGTGTCTATTGTAAATGGCATAGATTAAGAGGAAGGGTATTGTACACCCATGACAGGTTACCAGTCTGTCACAGGGCTAACACATGGAGACAGAACACCGCTGATGCTCACACTCACCATCATCATTAAGAATTACCAATTAAACTAAGCCCTTAGTACCCATGCAGATACGAGGAGAACAGACAAACTACACACAGGAAGGCCCCAGGCTGGATTTGAATCACTTTCGCACTGTGAAGTGACAGTACTAACCACTGGACCACTGTGATTTCCAGCGAGGGCTAAATTTGCTAATGGGCCAAATAGCATGCGAGTACAATTCGGAGGCATGCTGATGGGTGTGGTTAGTTTTATGGATAATTTACAAATATTGCACTGTTTTAAACACAGGTGCAGTCAGTTCATTTCAGGACAAAATCAGCCTGTGTTCTTAATTTCAATATTGTCCTGACTATATTTTGCACCTGCATCTGCAGAATCCGTCACAAAAATCTCGGACTTCCCTCCTCTAACACGTGCCTCTTGTCACTGAGCTCTTTGTAAATACTGTACTTTTCTTGACTTTTTTTTTGACAGAAAAACCCAGTTTGCACTTGAAAAGTCTTGATTTAAAAAAAATCACAACAGAAATCTGGACATACACTTGAATTGAACTGTTACATTTCTTCCACACCTTGAAAAGGCTGCTATAAATAAAACAATTTTACATATAGTTTTTAAATAAAATGAGAGAAGGAGAGTCATAGGTGCCCTGTGTGATTGTGAGTGCGAATGGTTCTCTGTCTCTATATGTTTGCCCTGTGACAGACTGGTGGCAACCTGCACAGGGGGTACCCTGCCTCTCGCCCTAAAACAGCTGGGATAGGCTCCTGCGACCCTGACCCGAGAGAATGGGTGTATTTTAAAATATAAATAATATTTCAAAGGTATTTCAAGGATTTCTTCCTAAGTTGAATTTTACACAAAAGTACTGCATTGATTGTTTTGGGGGTTTTTTTTGGTTCAAATTCAGGATCACATCTGGACTCAGTTCTAACGCATTCACACACACGGTCATATAGAGAAATTCAAATTAGTACCAACAATTAACAATATTACTACTGTTCAGAATGAAATAAACTGAATTAACTTGCCTTGTGAGATCACCAGCTCAATGTGAGCAAGGTGGAGAAGCAGGAGGAGGAACCACATCGTCACCACAGCTCATGACTTGAGAGTGAGACAGACAAATGATGCGCTCAGCTTTATATTGCCATGGCTTCGCCCACCAAAAATGGAAATGAGCAGCATACGCGCCAAAGCTAGACTCACAAATATTAACTTAGATTGAAAGACACACAACTAACTAACACACAAGTGTCCTTACTTCATATACAGCACCTTTTATGCTTTTCTCTTCATTAAACTAAAATTCCCCTTGATGCTGTGACACTGGCACACAACATACTGTATTAGAATGTACAATTGATCAACTGTTGATAAATTATAAATGTTAAGTTTAATAACTGATGCACATGGCTGTTTTGATGTTTTTAATTTGCTATTATTATTTTCATTTGAGATATTTCAATAAACTGATCTAGAAATGATTTTTTACTCAGCACTCTCTATGACATAATTTTGACGCCATTAAATAATATCTGCCTCAACAGAGTCATAATATTGCTTCATGCAAACAAACTTAACATAGTTTACCAAGTTCTTTAATACTGATAAATTCAGTTAATCCATAACCACAGAAAAAAAGATGTGATGTTAACAAACTCTAATGTTATAAATGCAATTAATTTTTCTTGTGTTGCTTATGATGAATACCTTTATGCAAATGAGCACAGACAGATTATCATGTTCTTTAATACTAATAAATTTACATCACAAAATCAAAATAAGGATAGGTAACAAACATAAACACAATTTTTTAATTTAAAAAAATCATCATGAACATTTTTTTAGCAACATTGTAATAATAGTAACACCAAAAATATTCCACATAGTTTTCTACAACTAACAGATAAAATAAGTTTTTGTCTTTGATTGTTTTCAATGATTCAACAGCAGCATGCATTTGCTGTGTATGAATGAGTATTAGGGCCAGGAGTATTAAACCCTCTACAAATACCTTGTGTAGACGAGTCAGTAGAATTGGTTTTAGTTAGTTTATTACCTTTTCAGTACAGAAACACAGTGGGACGATAAGTATTAATCACACTGAAAAGATGGTGCGGAGAGCTGCATCTGGTCAGAAGGAAAAACACACAAACTTGGAATAGATAGCCAGATTTGTGCAAAATGAAATAGCTGTGAATAGAAAGATGCAAGAATATTGATGCAGTAAAGAGTTTGTATTTGTATCCCAAGATGGCTGATCAACTTATCTACACAAAGAGTTTTTAGAGAGTGTAGCAGCCGTGCCAGTTTGTCTTGAAACGGCAACTGTAACCTCCACATTTGACTTTTTATCAAAGTATCACTTCAACTTTAATCTCAAAATATCTACTTTAATCCTGAAATAAACACTATTTATTTCTTCTTAACATGGTCCTAATACTCTGTCATAGCTGTGCCTGTTTTCAAAGAGCTCTATAAATAAATATAGTGTGGTAAATCAATTTTAAAGAGCAACATTTTGTTTGATTTAAAATTAGTTTTTTAATCAGTGTCCTTAGCCGCAGCAGACAACTGTATAATTCCACTAGTATTGTGAAGAAGAAGGTTTCAAAGCATTTGTCTTTAATGAAGTTACATTAAATGTCAACTTCTATCAGTAACCCTGATATCTGAGATCATTATGTCCTTAAACAAAAACACAAAGCCTTAGGGAGCAGCACACACAGCAAAACATCAGCTCACATCAGAGAAATGTCAAACTATTAATATTCTTAGAAAGGAAATATTATTCAGTGAGAAAGAAAGATTTAAAAACAACAACCTCCTGCTGCATTTTATCAGACCGCATCTACAAGCTGTAAAATCTGTGAAAAAAAAAAAAAAGAAATACATATATATATATATATATATATATATATATATATATATATATATATATATATATATATAATATATATATATATATCATCCTGAAAGTAGAGAGCATGATATTGAGTAAGGCTTTAAATAACATGAGGAATAATCAAAAATACTACACACAATATCCAAGTATTGTATTTCACAATGGCCAGGAGACATACACTCAAGTATGCATTGCCCAGTATATGCAGCATGTATACAGAATGTGATATATAAAATATGTATATAAACATTAACAACTAATGCATGGTAAAAACGCATCACTCTAATGGAATTATCCATCCTGACATTTTACATGTGAATGTTCCTGGATTGTGGTCACAGGTGTAAAATGAGTGTACGACAGAGCTGTGCGGCTCTGTGGCTGTCTGGCGGGAGACTTTTTGGAGCTGTGACTAACTGGAAACAACGTATTCCCCGCTGCCCTTTTGATTCTTAGTGAAATTCATTTACCCAAAAAGCCCATTTTGGCAACAAAACAAACCAAGTTGCTAAAAGGCCTGCAAGAGTTTTCTAGACATAAAGACATAAATTCTGGTTAAAGTGTCTCAGAGTCTCAAACTATCGAGGGAAGACACTTCAGGGTGCATTTGTTTTATTGTTACATACTTTATACGTCTTTATACTGTAGATATCATGAATGAATTATTAGCAGAATGTGCTTATATTATAAAAATGACAGCCAGGCCTGAGTTCTCCTGTAGACCCCCCAAATTTAAAAAAAAATAAAAAAATAAAAACAAAATCTACACATAAATCATAGCAATGAAAGTGTGATAATAAGGCCTTTCCTCGCCGACTGATTTATCGCTATCACTTTGTGACAGAGGTAGTGATGATGCTATAATAACATTAAGATTATTTTTGCCTTTTTTCCAGTCCCGTTATTTCTCCCCTCCTTGATGTGCAGAGAGTACAGAACACAGAGAGGCACACTTTACACACACTCTCATCAGGGTCTCTCCCTATTGTTATAAGAGACATAGATATAAATGTTTATATATATAATATAACCTATAAAAATATATATTTATAAACTACTGTCCAAAAGTCTTAAACCGCCTTTCATTTCTCTATATTTTTTCTAGTAGCTACATTAACTAGACTGAAACATGCACACATGCTTGAATTATTCATAGTGTGAAGTATTTTAACAAACGTACATATAATATGTATAATATATAGAAATTAACACACAGTATAATATTTAAATAAGATTTAAAATAAAAAATATTTTAAAAAATTGTAATATGTTTAATATATTAATAAATATAGACTTATTTAAGAGAAATTAGTGTGTACTTAACAACATTTTAAATCAGGTGTTGAGACAACTTTAAAAAATGTTTTTCAACATTTTCTCTCATTTATGAATAAATTTCTTTCTTAATTTCACTCCTTTTTAAAAGTATATAAAATAAAATAATTATTATATATTTGTATATTTACATAATAAAAACTGTAAACCTATATTTGTATGTTTATTTTGTGTAAAAATATTTTTTGCTTGACATGTTTTTGTGTGTGTCTCAAAGCAAAGAATCAATGTCAAGGTTCAAAGTTGCGTATCATAACTCATTGTAAATTATTCACTTCTATCAGGCTCACTAAAATACAACCACACTGGAAAAACATCAAATTAATCTAATGAAACTCTCAAAATAAATACAATAATGTTTAACTATCA